TGGATATTGGGTAAGGAAAAGGTAGTCCCAAATAAACGCCTGGGTGTATCCAAATTTGAAGTGAATACCCACCACATGTACAATTGTAAAAGTGTTCAACCAAAAGAGATGAAACTGGGAGTGTGAATGTCACATTTTCGGCGTTTTTATAAAGATCACTCACCCTTAATTTCTCTGTCAAATCGGATATGGTGATAACATCTCTCTCAGCACTTTTTTCAAACACTTTTGTGTCGACTTCTGATTCAAGAGAACAATCATCATCAATCGTCTCATCAAGTGTCAAAGACACCAAAGGAATATTTGCTGATGAAAAACCACCCCTTTTAGGTTTCTTAAACCGTTTCTTTGACTTCGGATTCATCTCTGAATCAAGAGTTCATATCATTGGAAAAAATCAGTTCTATTTATTTCAACTCTATTTTTACTATTTTTATAATTAATTATACTATATATATAATCAAATAGTTTTAATATAAATTTAAAACATTGTATCAATAATTAAAATACATTTAATTATAGTATATTTACCATAAATTATAATAAACTTACTAGTAATTATTACTATTAATTTAACAGAACTATAAATAATAGTTTTAATAATTTATAGTCGATGACCATCACAATCAACCACATTTCTATGTACACCACTAACCTTGAAGATACAAAGAACTTTTTTATAACGTTTTTTAATGCAACGCCAAACAAGAAATATCACAATCCTAAAACGGGATTGAGCACTTATTTTCTCTCATTTGCTGATAGTCAAGTAAAACTTGAAATCATGACAAAACCGGATCTTTCTACTGACTGTGGAATACACACAGGTTTAAATCACATCGCATTTTCTCTTAATTGTAAGGAACGTGTCGACGAATTGACAAAACAACTTTCTGAAAACGGGTATAAAACTCTTAGCGGACCAAGAACAACAGGAGACGGATATTATGAATCGTGTGTTGAAGGGCCAGAGGGAATCTTAATTGAACTGACTCAATAAAATTATTTTTTTCATTAACACAAAAGATTTTCATTCAACCGACTCTAGAAACAACGATTTGTGACTGTTAAGTGTTAAACAAAAAACAACATTTTGATTAATTATAAAATATTATATTCTTTTTGAATTACTTCGATTAAATTTATAATAGTCATTCTCTCATTCGGATTTTGTTTCCAACACTTTTCTATTATTTGGTATAGATTTTCTGGTATATTTTCTTTTCTTTCAAGTCGTTTTCCTAATGTCACAAACTCGGCAATTTTCCATGGAAATTTGAAAGTTTTTTTTGGATATGCATAATTCCACCCAAAGACTTCATACATAGTTATTGCAAATGAAAAAACATCAGCAGGTTTCTTGTAGTGTTCTTTGTTAAGCACTTCAGGTGCCATATAAATTGGTGTACCAATTCCATTTGTGAATGTCATGTTAGTCATCATCATATTGACATTTCTAGCGCTTCCAAAATCAGTCAATTTGGCGTTCACTTTTTCGTTTATATCAAGTGAAAATATCAAAATGTTGTCTGGTTTGATGTCTCTGTGTAATATCCCATTTGTGTGTAAATATGAAATACCCTTAGCAGCATCTCTTATATATTTCACTCGTAACTCCATGTTGACTTCATCACTTCTTTTGTGTTTCATCAAGTCTTGTAAACTCCCAAATTGTGCAAATTCGGTGACCATACATATCTTGTTTGGTATAAAGACTGCTCCATAGAAGTGGATTATATATTCACTTCTAAATTTGTCCAACATTTCAACTTCTTTACCAAACTCAATTTTTTGAGAATCATCTTCAGTGTTGATTTTCATCTTTTTAATTGCAACAACATTGTTTCTGAACATTCCTTTAAAAACAATTCCAAACGAACCTTCGCCAAGTTTCTTGTCTTCTTCCAACTCGTC